AAAAGCTAGCATTTAACTTAATTATTCAAAAGTGTGAAGTTTGCCTGAAAATGAACTTACTCTATTTTACTATATTGCTCTTCCAGTGCATTATAGTTGGAAATCCCTAATGCTAGCTGCTGCTCAAGTTCTTCAAGTTTACTCATTAATGAAGCATTATTAGCACGTAAAGATTCAATAAAATCCTTTGCCTGGTTGCATTTTCTGTGAAACCGAATCAGAGTTAAGAAAAAGATGATTTAAAATGATCTGATGATGAAATTTTGTGAACGTCATTTAATCTTGACGAGATTTATAATTAGATGAACACTTTGGAGCCAATGTATTACAGGACAATAAATGATGTAGTAGAATATATGAATTAATTAAAGAACAATTTAAATACAATATATTTGGGTTACTTACTGATTTGCATCTGCAATTTGTTGCTGTATGTTGTTAATATCATTAGCTGAGTTATTAATCGCCTGCTTTGCATCAATTAGTTTATTACAATTAGAAAGAACTACTTTCTCCATCTTTAAAGCGACTTTTCTGAAATGTGAAGACACAATGGCGAAGGCTCAGCTTAAAGATTATTGCAACCTGATTATATCTTATCGATATAATTCATAATCAATAATAGGAAAATGGTCCTCCCAATTGCTGAGGTGAAATTTCGAAGTACAAAGAATTATAAGTATGAAACTCCTGCTTATGCAGTTTTTGCCAATAATCAGCCACTCATGATTTATCCCTTTTGCTCGCTTAAAATATTTTAAACACACATTAATTTATTTATGGATCTACGGCCTAAGACTAAGATATGTAGTCCCATAAAATGTTAATAGATCCCATGAGCGAAAAATTGATAAGAAAACCTAAAGATATTGACGGGATTCTCAGCTTATGTTGCATTTCTTATCTATGATTCAATCTTGTTTTTATTATGAGAAATCGAATTTGTTTAAGTTTCATAAACCTTTTTGCACTTTTGCATTATAGAAAAGTTCAGTCATCCAAGAGTCTTGCAGAAAAAAACGTGGAAAATTTTGGGTAGGTAGACCAAAGTTGTTTTATCCGATCTTGACTCACAAACTTTGTAAAAAACTGTACTTTTGAAAGTGCGGATGCACATACCCCACCTTATCTAAACTTTTAACACATAGCAAAGTCGAACACCCGGGTAAAATTTCTAAATTCCTAATAAATACAGTTAGAACAACCTGTTCCTCCTCATCGAATGTTTTTGAATTTTAAGTATTCTAATTTATTTATGAATCTACTGTCTAAGATAAGAATCCCATAACTCGTCAGAGTACATTTTGCCTCAAATAGATTTAAGAAGGCAAATTATTAATTTAATTTAAATATTCTTGTGATTGTGGCAACCGAAATTAAGATCTCATTAAAGTAAACTAGACGATCCTCCGTTCAAAATAATAATAAAACTAAACTATGTCTAATCTCATTGCAAAGCTTTGCCCCTTAAAATTGCGTTTAAAACATTTTCAAGATAATCGCATTACTTTTCGGTTACTAACATATTTTAGCAAGCATTTTATTTTCTTGAATGATGACTGTATCAGACATAAATATTTGCTGAACTTACGTTAACTTAAAGTACCATGACTTTATTACTGGTGTTAAATGCATGAATGTATGCCTGCTTGGCTCAAAACAGTTGAAACATTTGTTTATGTATCCTGAAGGGTAAAATAGACAAAAATTGCAAAAAATATTTACATCGCATCGTTAATACGCTGAGTGCCGTCTCTAGACTGTTCTTCGCATCGACGCAAGTACGTTTTCTTTCGTGCCTCCTCCAGGGTCACTTGATCAATTTTTTGGGTCAGTTCGTTATTTATATTTTCCTTTTCCTGTATTTCTTTGAGCAATTGAACTATTATAGCGGTATCCCCATTCATACTTTGCAAGATCTGTATTGTTGGGATTGCAAGGTTTAAATAAGCAAGTAAAAAATATTAAAACATGTTTTATACCTCCTCCTTATGTTCTTCAATCATGTTACCCACTTGATAAGACAGAATACCGAAATAAACAACAAAACTATTAAACTTATGAATAAATCCCGATTTACGAACAGAATTAACAGAAAATGTCGTTACAATAACAAAGTTTTAAGTTTTAATTTACATGTCAATTGTCGAAGTCAATCCGAATTGTACAAATATACAGGGAGATTACATTGAATGTGATGTTTCGTACGTATGTGTTCAACACATGACGCGAACCAGCGCAGTTCGATTTTAAACGTCTTTCAAATGCGGCATTCAGAACGACACACGCATGCAGTGAGCAGCTACGCATATTAGTGCTTAACTCAGCATTATGTAACAAAATACACGTTTTATAAAAAGTCTAATAGCTCGTAAGTGTGTAATCAATAATTAGTATAAACATCGCATGAAGTTTTGTTTTCATATGCATGAGAATCGCTTTCTTAGATAACATTTCTTCAATTTAATTATTAAATGTTATTTAATTGCCTCATTCTCTCACACCATGCGAAAACTAGAAACAGTCCGAAGATCATGTTTCATATGAACACGTGCGCAATTTAAGGCTCTATTCCGCAATTAGAACTAGAACTTTTCAACTTAACCCACTCGACAATACGACTTAAATGACCCGCGTTATTTTTGAATTTTTGCAAATTCATGTGAAAACGTACTTACTTTAAGGTTGTATCCGACAGATAGAGCTTTAGAGCTCAACCGGTACTTAAAACATGAGCCAAATATTCAAAGCGGTTTTCAAGTCTCGCTTTATTGATGAACCTTCGGATTTTGCGTAAAAACTAAAAACATTTCCTAAATAATGTTCCTTATGAAATCGTGCGCAATTTAGGACCCTATCTTTCAATGACAGCTAGGGCTTTGCAGCTCATCCGATTCTTAAAATATGAGTCAGACAGTCAGAGTTAGAAGACTAAGAGCGGTTTTTAAAACTAGCTTTATTTTTGAATTTTTGCATTTTGCGGTAAATATAAAAACATTCCTTAAATGATGTTTAGTATAAAAACGCGCAATTTAAGGATATATTCCGCAATAAACACTAGAATTTTTCAGCTGCAGCGACTCGTAAAAATTTGGATCCAAGGCCAAGAACGGCTTTTGAAATCCGCTTTATTTTTTAATTTTTGCATTTTGCTCGAATACTAAACATTTTCCTAATATTGTGTTTAATACAAAAACGTACAAAATTTAAGGAGCTATCCAGCAATAAGAACTAGAGCGTTATAGCAATTAAGTAACAACGACTACAACCTTGATTGCCATCTTCTTCTACAACGCGAAGAAGATAAGATACTATCCGCTAGACCGTCATAAATCACCAAAAAGTTCCATCTACCTTTACGCTCTTTAATCTGGATTCTGGGGTTTTTTTGCATTTGAAGACCACAAAAAGTTAAATTTACCGTAGGAAAACACAAATACTTTGCAGATCATTCAAGATGTTTTCATAACCGTACGCTAAAGTTGATTGTGATAGAAAAACGTTATTTTTTATATCGTGACTTGAAAGAAAATTCAATCTGTGCTCACAATGGTATACCCATATTTTGCATTACCAGTTTATGTTCGAAAACTGAGTGAAAAGCACTGAAAAAATAAAAAAAATAACTATATTTAACCAATACTAGAACTGCTTAATTTAAAGTAAAGTTCACAAAAGAAAAAATGAATAAATGAAGTAAATTACTTGAAGGTATTTCAAAAACGTAGATCGCAGCAGAACAACTTTTCATTTAGAAAACGGTAAAAAAACCATTTGTTAACGTATTATATCTGACTTTAAATCAATTTTACAGAAATACAGTTTGGAAAATTTAAAAGCCCAACCGATAAAAATTATATGCGAGAATTTTACAAAATACAAATCAACAATTTTGGATTAAAAGCCTTAGAACTACATGGCAACCAGAAATAAAGTATAAAATATGTTTAGTACAACAAGCAATCTGTCCAAAGCCATGGAATGGGAAATCAGCAAAGCAAAGAATGAGAAATGTAAAAAATTCACAAAATTTCAGTTGGCATTCGAAAAACTATTATTTTACCATTCTTACCAGCTTTTCTACCCATTAATCATCCCAAAGTCCACACGGCACTTGAACACTCAATATAAAGATCTACTCCGAATATAAAACTTAAATCCTGCAGGTCGCAAGCAGAATAAACTAATACCGCGCTTGCTTTCGGAAGTTCGAATTAAATATATTATTTATGTCCTTAACTTCTGAGGAATTGCAAATTTTACTAAAAAACTAGTTTTAGTGAAACGTTCAAATTTTAGCCGTTTTAGAGAAATGTCGCATTTTATGATGACTAACTCAAGTAGGAAAGTAGCAGTTCAGTTCACTTATTTATTTGTTATTTGCGATAATTAGCTTTTCAACCAACATTCGTGTTTAGCGTAACTGAAATGCATTTGATTTTGGCGAATATTCGTTTTAATTAATAGCAGCTGGAATATTTTTAACAATATTTTTTTAAACGGCTTTTTGAAAGCTTTATTTTGAGAATTTAAACGGCTGAAATTAAAGATTATTTGGATTAAAAGTACTATTTTCGTGTACAATTTTTTTCTTGTCCGTGCTTTGCCATTAATTAAATTACAATTTAAGGAAAAAAATCACTGATCACTGATTAAAATATTGTCAGCGCTCTTAGCGTACCTAAAAGAATTAGTAAGAAGCGTAAAAAATGCATCATGCATGGCTGAAAGAACTGGAAATCTAAAAATAAACAAACACGATTTTTTTAATGTTTGCTATTCAATAAGTGTGAGTAAGCTCAATTTATTTATTTTATCATTATTTATTTTTTTACATTTTTTTATAAAGTGAAGCTACTTAAAATTGTCTCACCCTTTACGTATAGTAGGGAGTATACTGTGGGACAACTGGGATATTGGAGATATTTTAAAAAATCTCGAAAAACACATTTTTACATATTATTTTGAAGATTACATTTGAAATTAAATCACTCGGTATCTTAGATTTTGTAAATATATATTGAGTTGAATTGTATTTGTAATTTACAACTTTGCCCTTTTCCAAAAATAATGAACAAAAAGCAATGTGTATACGCTTTTAATCGTAACTCAAAAAAGTGATAATAATTAAAAAACATTATAAAATTACTATGTAATATAAGTAAGTACACCCCAGTGATGGAATATTTTAGGATTTATCTTTCTTTATTTGAAGATCCAGGACCTTTTCACTTGCAAAGTCGGGCAGTGACAACTTTCTGTATCCTTCGTCCTCGACGAAGCAAATTTCGTGCCCATCTGGATCTGCCAGGATAATAACTCGAACGGTTTGTTTTCCCGGAGTGGGAAGCAGCATAAGAGGATTTAAAATCGTTTGTTTGTTCTTGGTAATAATGTCAGAGACTGGTTCCTGTTCTGCATAGGGAATAGAAAATGCGATTCGTCCATATGCCTTACGCCTGTCCACTGGGCCACCTGAGAACACAAGGGTTATGCTTTTAAAACTTAATTCAAAAGGAAACATTCAAAGGAAATACGTTGGGAGTATGGCTTGTAACTTACCGATATCTTTCAGCTGAATTTTGGTGGCTTTTTTCTCAAATCCGAACGTGGCAGATTTGTCGGTCTTTTCATAGATAGTTAAACCAAGAATTCCGTTCCAATAGTTTACGGATTTCTCGAGGCTTGAAGATGCCAACATAACGTTTAAGACGGGATCTAAAAATTCATTTTTACAACAGTTATATTCACCAAATTTCCACACTTAATACAGCAGCTTTATCATACCTACCATAAATGTTTAATGTATATTGTATGTCAAGTAAGAAAAAGCGTTTTATTTTTTTTCGAAATAAGTTTTTTACTTCTGAAAGTAGTAAAAAAAATCAGTGAAACATTGTAAGTCGACAAAATCAGATAATTTAAATTTGGGGGTAGTTGCAATATTTCTGGTTTTACACAGCGTTTGTTGAAAACCGTGACCAGACTAATTAAAATCTTTAAATCTTTAAGCAACAAAATATAAGAGTTAAGAGACAAGCTGAAACAAACATGAAAACTTCAAATTGGTTGAATTCCTCATATTACTCTGAGTCTGAACGAACGATTTTCGTTTGCTTCTGCACTATCATTTCTTAAGTGCTTTCAGACATTTTAATGTTACACTTAACTTTATGTAATGAAAGGCAAAGATAAGATTACACTAAGGAGACAATTGGAAAAACGTGGGATAATAAATTTGATACGTTCATAAAAAGATTTTTAACATGCGTTTCCTAAATTAAAGATATTTAAGCATATCCTGTGTAAAAAATGTTCCAACCTTCATTCCTACCTACTTCAGAAAAATTCTCAAATCAACCGTTTACCAACTTACAAACCCGTCTTTATATGAGAAAAAAAAACCTATTTTGGCTTGTAAACTATACAATTCAAATACTAGGCTGAAGTAGAAGTTACTGTAATTTGGACAGTTAGTTAAAGAAATTGGTTAGAAAATCAAACCGCATTTTATTAATGAAATTAATGAACCGAATTTGTCTACACTGTTTATTCAATTGGTTACGAGTTTGAGAATTAAATTGAAAAAAAAAAGTAAATATGTATATTGAAGGCGAACACATAAAAAATAATCTTAATGACGCTGATAAAAATTGTTAATTACAGTGCTATGGTGTAATCAGGATTCAACTATCTTGTATTTGTAGATACTGAGATACTTCAGAAAGAAAATCTATAAATGATCACACTTGATCGATATGACTAGGCAGTTTCGATTGAAAAATGTTTCCTAATTTCTCACGGGTAAATTGTTAAACTTATTTGGCAGAATTTGAAGCAAAAACCGTATTCAGTTTTAAGGTGCAGATTGTATGGCTGCTTTTAAGAATTTCTGTGATATCCACGTTTAAATTGATTTACGGTAATTTCCTAGGAGTCATCCTCTCGTGTTTAAAACTAAAAATGTTCTTACCCTGTAGTTGATGAACATTTCTTAATGGTGTTCTTGGGAAACTGCGTTTGTCCATCACATTTCACGCATTTAAAATCACTACTTTTGCACAGGAAAACAGAGAGTTTATTCGCTAATTATTATTAAAAAATTTGGCTCCCGGAAAATTACATAATTCATGCATAGTTTTTTTACAGGATAATTAAAAATTCAGTGCAAAAATAAGGAAAAAGTGCATATAAACATTAGTCTGCAAACGGTTCGTTTTCAAGAGTCTGAAAGTTTAAAATTACGTTGTCAAAATCAGATAAAAGTAGAGGTGTTTTTCTGACATATTTGCAAATAACTGAAAGACGGTGGCAGATAGGAAAAAATGCAAGACAAAAAAGTTTTTAAATTAACAAGGACTTAGCAAGAAAGTTGTAACAGCACAGGGTGCTGTTGTCAGCACCCTGTAGAATTTAACAATCAGTTGGCATGTCTAATAAAATAGAGCAAAATAAATTTTCTGCTTCAAATTTAAATCAACTTTGAAATCCTGTATTTTGAAAATGAAGCGTTTGCACACTAATGTTTGTATGCACTTTTTTCCATATTTTTGGACGTAAAACGCGGTTCTAAAATTAATACACTCAATTTTGAATCACCTAGTATAGCAAAGCAACTCCCTTAACATTGAACCCTTAGGAACGATGTAGTTATCTGCAAAAAACTTCATTTATACCTGATTTATTTGGTTCCAACTTGAGGTTCTATCAACTAAAACGGTTTCTTTCACTATCAAGTATTCGATATAAATATAATAATTCGCAAACCGGCAACTATTGTTAAATACCCGTGATTTATCTGGAACTGCGATTGTGACTAATAAAGGACAATGATTAGTTCAGCCAAAAATTTTACAGTAACAGACAAACTGAGCGAGTTTATGCGTTTGTATATGATTTTGCTAAGTATATTTATTGTATTGTTACATGATGTCACCTTTGAGGCGCCCAAGTAATCTCGCGAAATAGAGAGCAGGTTCGACGAAGAGTGATTCATATCAACGCTTGATATGAATATATATAAAATAAGAGAACTGAGCTTCTACCTCACGATGTTACTTGTTCATTTGAACAAAGTCTCATACTTCTCCTATTTATTCATATTGGCTGTTTACTTTGGGATGGATTGGTATTATTATACGATTTTTAATTGATTCGTTTTTTATTACCTTGTTTGTCCAACATAATTAAAGTGGGGCCAAACTATTTTTTTAATTTTATTTAATTCTCAAATATATAATAACATATTAAACGACCTACAATGAGAGAAAAAGATATTCCATATCAATTATAAAATAGAAAATACTTATACATATCGTACTTGATGGTGATATTAGACTTTTCGAGGGTTAGTTTTAATGGACTTTACTGCACACAAACAAAACGAAATTCTACTATAGTGTAAGGCTTGCTTCCAAGCTTGTCAACAAGTCAACAATTGTTGAAGAATTTGGTTTATCACCATCGGCCGTGTAGCTCCTTAATTTTATTTTTAAATCACTTTCATATTGCACAATGGATAGTTGCCTTATTAAAAAATATACATATTTGCTCTAGTGAAAGAAATATTCGTGTATCATCACTAACAGTAATTACAATAAACACGTAAACTGCTGATTACTGTAAAAGCTTCCCTTTTTATCCAGGAATTTCAAAAAAAGTATCCCTTATTTTTCGACGCAAAAGAACATTGAACACTACTGAGCGTGTCAGTTCTCTTAAGGAAATCAGACTAGCTTTAGACTTTATTTTAGCGAATCTCCAGAATTGAACGATTTGACTAGCAAAAATTATACAAATAATGAAACTTGGAATTTTCAATAATTAGGTACTTACCGCGACAGGAACGGGGAATATGTCACCGAATTCTTGCTTTTAAACTTTAACAGTAGCAGGCACTTCCACTATGGAATTGTACCTGTTTATTTTCCTTCCTTTCAGCAGCTTTATATTATCACTTATGGAAGAACGTTTCGAGAAATAGTCTACTAATGGCTGAGCGTTTAGAATCGAGGCAAGGAATTGTTCCACTGTGATGTACCACTGAATTTCTGTTCTCGGTGTAGATGGATTGCCATTTTTGTCTGGAGTCTGCAAAAACAAAATACAATTCTTACCATCTGCAGATTCATCAATGCTAGCTTTCTCAGAACAGTTACCTCAGCTTCATCTGTAACATGAGATTGAGCACAAGCGGCTGCAGCCGCTGTTGCAAGACTATCCTCGCTTTCATCTCTGCCCACAAAAAACTGCTTTCCTACATCGCCTAATTCTAAAAGTAGCGTGCCTACATCTGCGATAGCGTGGTAAGTATCCTAAATTCATTAATTTACTATAAGCAAGGGATAAGACTAAGGTCGTAAGCGACTTACCAATTCTTCCGGCTCTGTTTGGAAAATATCATACACGGTCTTCCACAGAGTAATGAAATGCGTTTGAGACATTCTCGGCACGCCTTTCATTTCCGCTTTACTATCCTTAGATTGTACCAGATTTCTCAGGCTGGTTAAACTTTTGTTTTCCCATTCTTTTAAGCTGGATCCTTCTACAAAACTGACTTGGCTTCCGATGGAATTGTCCACTGAAGGCTGGGTATTTAATGTTTTCCTATAATTAAATTTGTTGCTTGTTAAATTAAATAAATAAAACGTTTTTTTGGCCAAAAAAAATTATTTAATTCAAAAAGTCAATGACTTATCAAACGACCCTCGTATTTAGTAGAAAACGTTGCAGAATGTTAGATCTTATAAAATCCAATAAATATTTTACACAACTTAAATTGTTTTGAACGTTGAACCAGCGCATCATTATCCAGTAAAAACAATTTTAATACAGCAAAAAAACAGTTTTTTAAATTCAAAGTTAGTCGTAGTGGTATTTCATTTAAAATCTTAACGCATGCAAATAATTTTAACTATTTAATTTTTATTTACATTAATTTAAAAGTTTGTATTAAAATAACTGTTGGTCTGAGGATTTTACTTCAAATATTAATTATTACGCCCACAATTGGAACTTAACACGATTTTAACCACAATTTAATTTTGCTTGAAAATGATTCGTGGCGCGAAAACTCAAGAGAGCTTTTTGTAAAGCAATTGAAGGGTGAATTTTTTTTTAATCAATGGCACACAATTTTTTTTTAAATATTAGACTAAAAAATGTTTAATTCAATAGAATCATAGCCACGCGAAACCTTTTAGCATCTGCAAAATTTCTTTCATATCTTGTGTAGAATTCTTGTTGCTTGTTCACAGTTACTAGTTAAATCGTTTTAAACTCAAAATTCCATTTAATCGCAATAGAAAAACAATAATACAAAACATGAAAAGCAAAAAATGTTATGCTCATGAGAAGCAGCGGCCAGAAATTAGTACATTTAGGACATGGTGAACATAAAGAAATAGGAATGGAAACAAACAGTATAGTTAAAAAGCTTGAAATTACTGAAGCAAAATTACATAAAAATAATATTAGTTCAGAAGCGGTTAAACTTTTTTAATGGCATATTCAGAGTAAAGTCCACTTTATAATTAATTACTAGCATGCCAACATTGAAGATCTTGGGCACCAAAGGCATTTTTCGCAAAACGATCATTTTTTCCACGAAACGTTTCAATGAAAACGTAAATTATTCACACAAGCAAAATGTTGGACTAATGAACTTCTTAAATTGCTGAGTGAATTAAAATAGTTTTTTTCGGGAAAATCAATCGATCATTACTTGATTATCAGTCATAAAGTAATGTTTCCCAAAATGCGCCATTCTCGAGCCCTAAATATTGACGAAATACTGCAGGACTCTGCATATGATCTATCTCTTTTTGCAACTTAGTATTGATGTCGCATTTACATTTTAATTTCACGTGTTTGTCCCAATTTGCAGAAATGAAATACAGTGAGTCCCAGACGTAATGTCTAAATTCAGCGGTGGGTTTTTCGGAAAACTAGATCTCCAACAAGTAGAAGAAGAAGAAAAAGTTTCTGAAATAAATCGATCCTTTTCAGGACTTCAGAAATTTGAAGGAAATAATAACAAAAAAAGTCACATGTGCACCTAGAAATTGTTTGGTTCGAGCTCTTTCCCAAAAAACAGCGGAATTTTAAATAAAGTTACAATTACTTCCGAAAGTCACTATATAAGTTTTACTAAGAAAAACGATAATTAGGCACAAAAAAACAATATACCGACGAAGGGCAAGTATTATGATAGCCATAATGGTAGCCAAAACCTTATGAAAATTAGCCAATTAATGTCCAAACGAGATTAACTTCATTGCCCCTTATATTGATAGAATAACAATCAAGTATCCTAATTTCGCAAAGGTCAACAATTAATCCACCAGTATGGAAAAAACAATTTTTGCCACATTTCACTAAAAGATGTCATTCATCATCGCATCAAAATTCCAATTATGAGTCCCACAGTACCACAATACAAGATCTTGGTGCACGAAAACACTATCAGCATTCTCACTAAGTACACTTTTCATTTAAAAAATGGTTTCCAGAATACTCGTCTCAGCCCCAGCTCCGATTCCCATAACGCTCCCTCAATCTTGGAAACTTGGAGCATTCAACAGAAAGACTTTGGGAAGAACTTCAAAGAACCAATTGAGGTGGGAGTTTGGTTTTGAGGAACTAGCTATGAACCAATGGGGATTTTGTGGGTTTTCAGAAATTATAGCAAATTTTCCAGGAGTAGTTGTCCACCAAAGCCAGATGCAAAAAAATGTCCCCAACCAATCGAGGACGTTTGCGAGCCACCCAATGAAAAATCCGGCAAACGCGAAACAGGCCCAGAGGTCACTCCTTGTAGTCCAGAATGCCGAAAGGGGACTCCGAATTTACCTCCTCGCGGTTGCCTACCATGGGAAAAAGGGGCTGAATTATGTCCAGAAAAAGAACCAACAAGGCAAGTAACCAATCGCCTAATGATGTCTCCTGTTAAACTTCTATTTTTTTATGGTAGAAAATTAATTAGTGCCACTTGTGAACACTTGTGCCAACCTTATGTCGGACAAGGCATCATTGACAAATTAAAAGTATCCGCGTGCGAGTACCGAAGATTTGAGAAGTGCTTCATAAAAGAAAAAGATGCCAGCCAGTGCTTAGAGCTTGGGCCTAATATTGCCCTATCTCGCAAAGTAATATATCTAGATTATGTTTTCCAATGTTATAAATATTTCCAAACGTTTGCAGATATACCCAATGGCACATGCTGAACAGAAAAAATATCTACCAGGCTGTCCAATCAAGTCCCATCATTTTGTAAGACCAAAAACCGAACCAGAATGTTGAAAATATTAAAATACCTACTACTGTTCGTGTAATGAATATTCCTTTATTACTAGAAAAAATGTACGAATTTTTATTGAAGACTTAGATAATTTTACTGAAGTTTCAGTTGGAGTTCAGTAAATTAGTTCTTAAGTTAAATAGAGACAAACCTGGTGTGATAGTAAGCAAAGTGTTTCTTTCTGGAAGTTTTAAGCATATGTTTTTGAAGGTTTTCAATTAAGGGCCGCCTGTTTAAAAGGGTTCTGCAATCGCGTGAAAAACTATTTACTTGCTGACTAGTCAAAACTGTGAGCTAGTCAAAAAATATTGAGAATAAGGATGCAATTCTGGACTATTTAACGGACCGATTTCGTCCTGAAAACTGCCAACATTTCCTTATCGATTGTTCTCTTTCTAAAAAGGCCATTTAGTTCTCTCCCGAATGATGTAAAAATAATTTCTTCTTCGTCATTCTTGCTCATTTTGCTTCCGAGAAATGAGCAACAACGGGACGGAAAACATGAAATTTTCGCATAACTTGCTACAAATTTCGCTTTCTGGGTCAAAACTACTCGAATTTCCTCACCGAAGTTGTTATGACTGTGAATTCTGTGGCTCAAATGGAGCTTGAGAAACTTCTAAAAATGCAGCGCCATGTTTGAGTCGGTTTTGCAACTCAAAAAAAAACAGGCAAATCTAAAACTTCTTGAAATCAGAACTTTTTTGAGAAAACTGCCACTATTTCCTTATCGATGCTTCGCTTTCTAGAAAGGCCATTTATTTCTCTCTGGAATGATGTAAAAATAAGCGCACTTGCTCATTTTACTTCCGAGAAATGAGCAAAAACGGGACGGAAAACATAAAATCGTGCACCTAAGTGTCTGATATTCAAATTTCGCTTTCTGGGTCAAAACTGCTCGAATTTCATCACTCATGTTGTGATGGCTGGATCGAATTTTCAATTCTCTATCCAACGATGCCAAAACGAATTCTGTGGCTCAAATAGGTCTTGAGAAACTTCGAGAAAAGCAGCGTCATAACGAAAATTTTTCTAATTTCATAGACAGCAAAAGACTGATTTTCAACTACATGACCCCCCTGAATTGAAAGCTGGATCCGCCCCTGAACAACTCGGAAAAAAACAGCACTAAAAATACCCGCTTATATAGCATTGTTAACCATTAATGCCACATTTAAATTCACGTCACTTTCACATCTATTCCAAATCATTGTCACCTCATTAAAAAACTTAAATTATGCTCAAACCATTATCGTCAAACCCTTCACTTACGAGAAATCTATCGTTTAATATCTTTAAAAAGCGTGCGAACTGCTGCGACAAAGAACCTGCCAAACCAACGCCAAAGTAAGAACTTCGTAAACAATTGTAAAACTAGAGTAAATTATTTTTTTTATTACATTATTGTAGCTCCTAATATTCTGCCTGAACAACATACGATATTTTACAATACCACAGTTTCACGTATTTTCAGCCACAAATGTTTGGCAAAAATCACTTTTTTTAGCTGTGTAACATGCAAGGATCACAAGAATAGTTTCGAACCAGTAACTGCTCATCATCAGCGTTTTGGTTGTTATTTCCAAGCTCAAATCCTATCGAGAGAAATAATAAATTCGAAATCGGTCGGAAGTGATTGATAGCGAAACAACTAAAAACAAAATTTTTGCAAGTATCCATATTTAGATACTTTGCAGGAATCGCACGCTCTGATTCTCTCATTAAACATATCTATTTGTTTTCACTTAAGAAATGTTGAATGCCCTTCGTTAACGATATATAAAAAACGATCGCTAGAAATCATTGTTTTGCTCACCCATAAGCAGATAACAAATTCGTTTTTACGCAGTATAAATACACGACACCATTAAATTTTCTAAGTAGGTATTACAATAACTGGAAAACTTTATGTTTTCACAATGAAAATTGTTGAAACATTGTTATTCTTTTAAAGCATTTTAAATAAGCACTTCCTAGACAAAACCATACCCGTTTACTTGACTATTTTGAATAACGCAAGCGATCAAAATGCATGATATGTAACCCCATGAAACGTCCAACATTGCAGATACACTGTGCAAAAAACGTGCGAACCATCGATATTCGAGATTTGGAAGCCAAAAATCCCAGAACTGAATGCTTGCAACTATCCTACTATCAAAACAAGTATGATGATGCCATACAATCACAAGACTTGTACCGCTGGAATGAATTTTCGCGAAAAAACGCGCTGTGAAATTGAGGCAGAAGCGCGAGAATGTCAGAAAATGAACCATCCGAAGTGGATACAAAAATGCCCACCAGCATCAAAAATCAAGGCAAGTGTACAAGCTAGGATAAGAACCCCATGCTGATTATTGTTTTGGACATTTTTAGATATCTGAGCCAATAACACCGATGAAGGCGTCAATGGTCACGTGCAAAGGCGCAAATGGCAGCCAAAAGAAAATTGCGAAAAAATCGTTAAGAGATAAATGTGACCCTCCGGTTCCAGAAGGTGATTGGAACCCGGATGGTCATTTAAGCTGATAAATTGATTCATCTAAATACAACACAAGTAACATTTGTATTAATTGTAATTTTCATACTTACTGCCATTGGAAGCAGTTGCTACTTGTAGGAGTACCAGGTGACCGATCTTCCAATATATTGAGCGAATCGATACTCTTTTCAAGATTCTTCTCCGCTGTGCTAAAAAAATCAGTCGCTTCAGAAGCGATTTCTGCCCCGGATTCATTCTTTTCCGGAGACTCAATGTCCGACATGCACAGTAAGGGCGGCAAATGAATAGTGTAGAGCAATTTCAGTCTTTGTATGGCATCCGCTGTAGAAGTCAGTCCAAGAGCTCCAGCCAACTCTCGGAAATTTAAATAGCCATCTCTGTTACTATCCATTAACTGTATATTGAAAAATTTAGTGGCTGGCTTAAGAGCGGGGTAAAACACTTACATTGAATATTCTTGCAGCTAACGACTCCGCCGTTTCACCTTTTCCCCATGGTGATAGCGCGGCGAAGAGAATTTTAAAATAATCGAAGTCTATTTTATAAGCTTCATACGGTTGTAAGCTGGGATCGTGCTTATCTGGGATATGCTTTTTTTGACTGATAATCTCTTCTCTGACTAGACCAAGTAATTCCTATAAAACAGACAATTGTGGGTTTTTCACAGAAAAAAGTGGTTAACTACACTTTTTAAATCGCTGTATTTATGATTTAGCAACATTTACCAAAATTTAGATTTAAAATACAGTGTTAATTAGAACTTCATCAACAATCATGGCATTTTGCGCCATTGTTGGTTCTCCGATATGACCGAGATCTCCGAGTCTTTTAAATTTTATATGTAACGAAGCAGAAAAAAAAGATATTTCTAGGCCACAAAACTGGCAGGCTGAATATTAACTCGACCTGCAAATGTAACTGCTATATTTACCTGTAACTCTGGTTTCGTAAAATAACCATCTCCAATCACACATCTTAAAACATTTCGTTCGCAAGTATCTTCCAACTCTTGCACTACCCGCAGTCTATGTTTGAGTCTCAATCGTTCTATTTGGCCCGTGCTCAAACAGCCATATCGTCTGTACGCTTCGTAAATTAACACTTGGATTGAAACCGTCTGGAAATTTAAACAATATCGCTCGTAGACAAATTAATTATTTACTCATTTCCACTCACCCGTTTTTGTTCGTCATAGCTCTTATTTCTAATGGCACCTCGGCCTTCATCGTTAAAAATTCCCATCAAATACTCGGATAAAAGCTGCATTGCTTCACCTATTTCGAAAAAATACTTCATAAATTCTAGAAACCAGTTAAACAATTAATATTTCACCTTCATCTTTACACTGTAGAAGTTTGTCTTGATTCCACTCCAACAACGTTAATGCCACTTGGAAAATCACTTTAGCACCATCGTAGAAAAAACAGTCCATGACGTTCACAGCGGACTCATAGGGCATTACGCACAGAAATATTGTTAAGAACCAGGAAAGAGATATCATATTCATCATACCTAGAAACATTAAAATAAAAATAAACTTTCAAATTGACTATTAACGCTGATAGTTTTTACCCAACTGCAGCAATCTATCATGTAAATTAGGCAAGTATTCTAAGGTAAGCTCGTCTAAAATTCCTTGATCCACAACAGCACCAACTACTCTTTGGTTGTAATAGTCTGGCAGTAAATTTTCACACAAAGTGACCAAGAGCCAAAACGCCTCTTCCTCCTTGCAATAAATTAAAAGCACCGAAGCTGAAATCAAAATTTATAATCGGTCATCTATGGTTAATAATCGAAAACTCACATACTTAGGTACAATTGATTGCAAATAATTTACAAATGTTTACAAGATTTGTTGGGGTTTAAAGTCTTAACGTTTTAAGAAAACTTAAACAATTGCAATTTAATATGAAAAAAAAAGTGCTGCATAGATTCATAAATAATTAAATAAATACAAATATTCACAAGACGAACAAATAAACTTACCAACAATATTCATAGCCTGGCAATATCCTATACTAGGATTGTGTAAAGCATACGCGCATAGAACTCTTCTTAAAGCGTCTATGCCGATTTCACTCTGAAATGCTGGATGCTCAGGGAGAGATCTGTAATAGAATCAAGTATAAGAATTCAGTCAATTTTACACAAAAATTTCACTAAAATACCTGTGAAGATCCCTTTCAATCTCATCATTTGCCGTTGACTGTTTCTGTAGGGCTTTATCTACAAGGGACCGGTAATACCCAGGATGTGCTGCTTTAACATTTAACGCCCCTATAAGATGATAATAGCAGAGATTAGTAGATCTCTGAATAATAGAATCTCTGATAATAGTGGTGTTGTTTTAAAACAAAACATAAATGTTTAGTTGATATGCAGCTATATTATTAAAAGATCAACCATTAAAAGTCTTATGTCCCGTCCAGATCTAACGGACGCCGCGGCTCGGACTGGACAGAGTAGAATAAACAGTTCATACACACATGCGTGTTTTATTCATTAAAGCTGTTATTTTATTAGGAAGATTAGTTATTTGAAAACTGCAACTATTTACCAGAAAAAGACATCCAAATTTCCATTCTTAGATGATCTGGAATACCACCTAAAACCAGCTTTGCAACATCTGTCGTTCTATACATAGAAACGCCTCTTCCAAATGTATTAAAGTGTTCTTCCCATTCTTTGGCCTTTAGCTGCTGTCGTTTGCTCACCTCAGGTATCGGGCTTAAGGGAAACATCGTCATAAGGGCTTTCTGCGGCTTCCAAACAGGTTCCGTATCTATTAGAGGATCGCTTGCCCTATCCCCATTAAATCTGAAGCAATCAGAATTTTTTATATATTTTATAGATTCATTTACGTCTTCCGGTTACTTACACTTGCATTTCCTGTGTTCTGGCCAGTAACTCCGATAATTTAACAACGACGAAATCACGATCCAAAATTTGGGCAAAAATAAAATTGGTTCTATTTAAGGAATTTCCCATAGTAACAATAATTGCCTTTTCCAGCGACTGATTTGATGTGTTAGTTTCTATTTTTTCTGCGACAATAACATCTCTCAGAGGAATAACAACGCTAACTTGGGCTTTCACCTAAATAATTATAAACATTAAGAACCCCATTCATGGTAAAACTAGTCTACTTACTTTACTTTCAAAGCAGATGTAGTTTTGCGACAAAAATAGTCTCCCAGAAACATGTTTTCGGTTGAAAGGGGTCATTAATGTACAGTCGATAGAACCATCTAACTTCTCTGTAGATGGAAGTCTGAACAACATTCTGTACGCTTCCGACTGAGCTCGTGCATCTAAGTCTCTTTTCAGAAATGAGGCTTTTTTAGGGACGTTTTTGCTATAAAAGTTAAACAGCTTTTTTAATATGCACAAATGGTGAGTTACATGCTCTGTTTAATATTATCTAATTATCGTCACTTTCATTCATTAAAATTTGCTTTTTGTGCGAATGAACCAAATTAAGTCTTATTTGTAGATAGTCCGAGAGTAAAAACATTCCAATATTTCTATAAGAAATAAATAGAGATTTAAATAGAAGATGGGGTATAAAGACTAAATACAGATCTTGAAAGATATTCAAAATGTAGACCAAAAATAATGCTGCTTAATAATTAAATAAATAACTAAAGGAAATTTAAATAATTTTAGTAAATTAAGCGATGTGTCTTAAAACGAGTGTTCTAAGTCAAACTCACCTTAACTTATTTAAAAGTTCCTTGTCCTCCCGATAGCTTTTCTTATCATCAATGAGTCTGTAAATACATCCGATTAGATACATTTTTTTTAACTCACAAACTACCTTTTTACTGCCAAATCTACCAGTTGTTCCATCAGAGTGTACGTCTCGTTTTTTGTGAGAAACATACTAAAATGGTACTCTTTTTCTCTTGTAACAATTCTTATACTGTCTGGAAAGAGCATGCTGTTCTTTTTGTTAAGTTCAGTCACCTCTGACCACCTATAAAATAAAATCGGAATAAATAAATGAAAAAAATGCGGTGATAAATTACCTTATACAAACTTTTGTGTCTGTTCCCAAAATAAATGCATAAAAACAACAGTAATTTATTGACAAGTACATCCACCCTTGCCTAGGTAATTTTCCTTTCCAATAACTACAATCAATTTGAGAAAAAAGCAAGATTAAAGACTAATAAACAAAACATGATCAGAAAAACTCACCTACATGAATAATAATTCACAAGTTTTTCATCTTTAGGTAATCCAAACAACCGTTGAAATTTATCAGAAGTTACTTTGAAGGCATTGGAGTCTTCATCTAAACAAATTAAAATTCAACTTAAAATATTGCACGCTAAAGTTTCTAATTATAATAAATCTTCGCTAATTTTCTTCGTACCTTCGACTTCCTCTTGGTTGACTGCGATTACAGCTTCAATTTTACAATTCACAAAGTCAGTGATGTCGTCTTCATTATCAAATGAGTGCAACGTTTCACAAACATTTTCAAATAGCCATTCCCAATCTTTTAGAATCTCATATTTCGTCATACCACGAGCTATTACTAAAAATTGTATCTTTGTTGATGATCGAGCTATTATTGGATTTTGTGATTTCAAATGTGAAGAATATTGTTCTATAAATTGTCGCTCGTATTTAAATTTTCTTAATTTAATTTAACATTGGACAATTATTCTTATTTCTCTTTTTATAAAATTTATATTTTTTTTCGGCTTTGAGTTGATACCAAGAAAAAAGCGTATGGACACAAGAAACCAAAGGAAAACAGTACTACATAATGTGTGTATGAGATTTTCAAAAACTCTGGTTTGAAGAAATTGACTCGATTCAAGGAGTTTTCAATAATGCTATTGCACCTCATAAGCTTTATTCGACTTGAAACCTAAAAGGGTATTTTGATGACAAACTAAAATACTTTAGAAAATCGCTAAAACACCGAAGTAATTCCAAATTGGCAGTTTTCCCTTGTCCTCAGGATGTTAAGCCCTGTATGGAACCAAAAAAACCGACTTTTTTATTACTTAATTGAAGATCGAAACCGCTCAACAGAAAAAGGTTCCGTCGTCAAATTTGGACCGCCGACTTTAGAACTGGATCTCTTCTAATTGCTGTTTGAAGCCTTATCTAGTGCAGTTCTTTTTTCGGTCAGTGTGTATTTAAAAAAAAAATAGTACTTCAGATAAAATTTCTACAGGGTGGAGAAAATTGAACAGAAGGTCGTTTTTTTATTATTAAAACACCAGAAACATAAAGACAGACTAGATATCTCAAAGCTGTTGTATGTCTGCTGTACATTACTTTTATTTACAGCGTGACCAAAAAACAACAACTTTGTGGTGTTGCAGTGATAATTTTTTTCCTGCTGGACTGATTTTCAAAATTTAGAGCTCTTGTTGAAGCGAAACGACTTGAGATCAAAATTCATTATAAAGGGTTGCACTAAAAGCTACCCTGACTAAAACTGCCACTGAATTCAGGGAGTCTGGCAGACTTTCAATTAGAGTGAAGTTTACTTTCAAACAATCCTTTATTCATGCCACCCGGTCTATGAACACATTTCTACAAACGGAAATGTTATCACTGCATCCGATATTAGCGAAAAATTAAAAAACCATTATGAAATATGAGGCCTATATTTAAGCTTTTGGTGTTGAAATAAAAAAACCGTTTTTTTTTTGATCGACTGGGAACATGACAAACATTCAGAAAATGCTGCATTGTCTCATTATCCACCGTGGAGAAACTTTGTCTGAAGAAGTCAATTTTTGCAAAAGCACCCATCGGCAGAAAAACAATTAGACTAGATAACGCTTGAAACGAAAACAAAATCGCTTTTAGCGATCAGAAGGCATCCAATTCCAAAGTCCTATAAAAAGCTAATTAACAGCTGGTTCCTTGCTATTAACTCCCAATGATGATCACCTTGTATAGTGCAGTTTAAAAAGCGTTTTATAGGTATCTAAATATAATATTTCCAGAGGAAATACAATAGGCTATTATCTATTACAGATAAGAAATTGATATGGGTCTATTGTAATAAAGCAATAATTGTTATATTTTTTCTTACGATAATACACTTCTGAATTAGGTGTTTGGTGTAAAATCCTGTATGGGGCTGGCTTAGTATCGAAAATACTATCCATAGTCCCAACCAAAAGGGATGAAAGGCCTTTAACGCTACCATGGCCTTTTCTATGCTGAAGGACAAAGTATATGGAAGTCTCTTCCGTTTCCCTATAGACAGTAAATCTAGTATAATTACATCCAACAAACAAGCGGTTAAACAACAACTGTTATCTGTTTACTTTGTTTATTTAAATAATATTTGTCATTACTTTCATTCTAATAAGAATTTTAATTGATCTAGATATGCTGATCCATTAATACTGATTGAATCTTTAATATGCTTATTTTGATTAGATATCTTAGATTTAAAGAGTCTATCTACAGTTTTTGAACTCTCTAGTCTAGAGAACTATTTGCGATAGGCACCTACGCTTCGTAACACATGTTGCCGACACTTTTATCTACGTTACGGGAGCTAAATAGCTTTCCTCTTGATAATAAAAAATATTGATAGTGCATTTGGACTTATGTACCTACACAATTCAGAAATTTCAATATATTATTTGCTTAATAGTAAACTGTTGTAAGTGAAACTTCCCATTTAGATATATAAAAACAAACTTGTTCCACCATTCTAGACTTAAAATTGAATTTTATGCCTTGATCAACTGTTTACATAGGGCCTTTTTGATTATTGAATTTAAATTATTTGAAAATCGCCTTCCTCACCAGAACGCATTGGCAATGAGGACTTCTTCGGGCTTCACAAACATGTTGAAGAACAGGAAATCGGCTTATTCAAGCTCGATGTAAAAAAAATACTTTTATCAACTCTTCAAACAAACTGTTTCTCTATCACAAAACATTGCTTCAATAAGCACACGAATTTCACAAATAGAAAAGTAATATGGATTGTTCCTTTACTGTTTAATACAATAGAGTAACACCGATATCAACATTAGAATAAGGAACGAAGGAATAAAGAAATAAAATGGTTTTATCTAAACGAAAACAGCTAAACACTGTGTTTTGATAACAAATTGCAATAAATGTCAAAACTGTATTGTCTTTTAGTAAAAATCAGCTGTTTATTAATTGACATACAGACATCTACATATGAAATTTGAAGAATGGTGGTAAATGAGTGGAACAAGGCAAAGCCATAATCAATCCCTTGCAGTAGAAAGGGACAAACGCCCGAAATTGGTAGGGTAAATTTTGTTAAATATAACTATATTATAATTTTATATTTAACAGCTGCTGCTACTACGGCAATTTGCAAACTAAAAAATTCGCACACCAGGTCTTTGTTGATTTTAAGTCAATCTATATGTACAAAATATTTGATTTTATAAGACATTACTTTTATTAAATAGTCATCTATAATTTGGAAGGGTGTACGAAGCTTAGGCAGCCCATACTGATTACTGACAGTGACAGACGTCAGTTATATGTTGATGTTGTTTGTTGTGTAGGCTTTTAACAATAATTCCTTAGTTTCTTTATTATTTCGTGCACTTTATATAATATGTTTTACTTAAAAATTCTTTCCCTTTCTAAGTGTTTGGTGAAACTATAACCGTTAATATTGTACATACATATTCCACATCAGTACACTTTGGCCCAAGTAAGTCTGTCTTTGAACTTATTGGCTAAATCTGCTTATATTTTATGTATTTATGCCAAGGGGTGAATAGTTTTCATAAACTTATCATATTAGCGATTGGTGCAATGCTGAGAGTTATACTAGATGATAAAAGCAAACAGCAACAATGTACTCAATGATTAAACGTTAGGGTACAAACACCAAGTGCTTGTGATAACTATTGCCCCTTATTCACTATCACTTAAATAGCATGCTGTATAAAATGGTTTTCTCGTAAAAACTAAAGGACATTATTGAAATATGACAAATACAAACTTACCATTTGTTGAGATGGGAATTGTATTGCAATGAAAAGGAGGGCAAAAAGACGAATCAACAATCAATTTTTCCAATCGCTGCAATTCTTCAGGGCAGCGCAACGTAAATTCAACCAAATGGTTAAATATCTTTACCCATTTTGTATATCTTCAGATTTTCCCATCGCTCATTAATTTATTAGAAAATTTAAATTCGTCTTCATATTAGATACTTGAAACGGACAATATTATAAAATTTAATATTTCCTCGGCCATTTCTTTCGATACAAAACATAAATCTCAATATCTAGACCATTTACTTGCGATTAAGTTAAAAAACGTTGAAAACTGTTACCTACTTCCGAATGATACTTGTGTCAGACAATTCTGCAATTTATTTTTGTCTTAAGTTCTGATTCAATTTCTCTGAGTTTGACAAGTTCCTATTATCAAAATAGTAAATTTTCTTAAAACCATTCTTTCATATTTAAATTATTAATTTATGTTCAAAGATGACAACAGACTGAAACCAAACAGATTCAAAATGAGACTAAATTCCGTAACTGAAGTAGCAGCTGCGTATATAGTCACCTTCAATCTTTAGAATCGTTTTAATAATCCAGAATTTGTTTAAACATAGAAAATATGATCCGAGAATCTGAAATAATTGGGAAACACTGTCTATGGTGGCTGTAAGAACTGGTCACAAGATTTTTACGTTCGACGTTTGCATGCTTATAAAATAGTTTAGAATGACCGCACGAACCGTCAACGAACGACTAAAATTTAAAAAGATTGAACTAAACATGTGCCTTAAAACCTATTTCCAGTAGTTTGTTTGCAGTAAATTTGGTAATTTTAGTTAGCCTTTATTCACTCAAAAATTGTGTAACCACTTTACTTAAATTTCAAATTGTTTACATTTATTACTTATGTCTTTATCTTCATTATTATTATTATTATTATTATTTGTAAGTAAGTAATTTGATAAAATTTCAGCAGATTCAGTTTCAGCAAAAAACACTCGAAATTGTATTTCATGTTCACAAATGCTGCATTCTTCAAGTCTTCAGTAGATATTTTGTCTGCAGTAATTTAAATACTGATTTAATAATCGACTCATATGTTTCTGATGAGGCTCTGATGATGTCGAAAAAATTCAGCATTGTGAAACGGGTATACAATGTGGACCCAAATAAGTTTGGCAACGGAAAAAAAATAGATTGCTCATTAAGAAAAATCGAACTTTTTACGTCTGTGCGTTAAAATTTAATTTATTTTAAGTTTTCAGCCATTATATCAGGAACCGCTTGAACTACAGGATTGAGTTTTTGTACACATATTACCAGTATTGCTATTTTTTGTAAGTTAGTAGCAGTAGTGGAGATTTTAAGGTATCGCGTGCGTGTTTTCATGCTGTTTTAAATTTTAAAACTGAAAAACTAGCATTTTTGCTGAATTCTGCACAAAACGAATCTCGAGGTTTATTGCTCTAAAGTTAACTATGTTCGAAAAAATCAGCTTTTTATGAAGAGAAAGTCCCTTTGTAATAAACAAAAATATGTAGTAAAATAATTGACAATTTTAGCGAAATTTCAAGGTTGTACATGTTATATCTTTTTACATATTACTACTTATTTTTTTAATTATGAATTATTTTGAAAATGTTTGTTTTTGTTAAAACATGGCATTTTCCTCAAAAACGGTTAATTTTAGAGCAATAAAGCAAGGGAACTGTTTTTGTGTAGTTGTAATTCATTAACGCTTCAGTATTTGCTGTGAACATGCTAGTTTTTTTCAGTGGTTTATAAGTTGGACGGAAAGGCCCATACGATACCTACGAAATTGGTAAAAAGAGAAAAATTTATTACAATTTTGGCTCTGCATCTCGAAAACAAAGGCACTGAGAGAAAAATAGAAATTTTTTAAAATATGGAAAATGAATACATATTTAAAATATGGAATGTAATTCTTTAAGGACGAATGGCCACGGTAGATTTATAGCAGTTGTAAAACATGTTCTTTACTCGAGCAATGTTTGAATACCGAAAGTTTTATTTTGTTTCCTTACAACCAACTTTGGATTAATTAAGCCAGAAAAGTCCTAAACACGGCATATAAAACACTTCTAGTATTTGTTTCGAAAGAATTAAAATATATCTGTTACTAACATATTTTAATTCAATATTACTAATAAAATTAATTTTGTTAGGGGCGTAAAATGGACGCAAGTGAAATAAAATTTGAAGGAAATGGCGGCACAACATTCAATAGTGAAGAATACTGTGACTCAAAAACCGAGTCATCTGCTCGCCTAGACCATGACATAGAGGGTAAAATCATCTATAGCTATTTGCCATTTATTTATACTCCCGTTTATTCAGAAAAATCGATACTTGAAATGGATCAGATTTGCTGGACATGCTTGAATACCAAAAATGTCAATTACATGAAGGATACATGTATTGGAGATGCAAATAGTTTACAACTGTATGAAGAAATTGCGAACATTAAGGTATTTAACTAAATCCATTTGCAGTTGGTTTTTATAAGTGGAGCTTTTGAAGGCTTTGAGTTCGAGTTATCACTATTTTGATATTGATGAATGAATTACGTAATTCTTAAAATATATCAAAGATCACATTTACAGTAAACCTTGATTCAGTGTTAAACATTTTTTTAAATTTGTATTGTTTTGTTGTTTATTATTCGCGCTTCTAGAGTTTTTGTCTGAAATGCTTTTCTCCAATGCGCTGATAAAATCGATTGCTTGGAATGCTCATTTTTTAAGAATAACTTATATGGATCGCTTGTGAAAAAGTTCCAAGAAAAAATTCAAAATGTTTTTTTTTTCATTCAGTTTTCTAGAGTTTTTTCTTTCATTTCGACTTGATATTTGGCAAGGCCCTAAAAATAGGGCCTTGCTAAATTCCTGAGGGATTCAGTATTTTTAGAAGACCCATATAAGTTTATTAGTGCGAAAGGGAAATTTGAAATAAATTTGTTGCTAACAAAAAATATGTAACCAATAAAATATTATTACTTATTTGCCATATTTAACTGAATTTTGTTTTTATTATTCTCTGATTTTTCTAAAAAGCTTAAGAAATTTGTCCACTGTCTGTGTCGTTTTTCATAAATTACGTCATTCGACAAATATAATATATTTTCTAAATATTGGCAAATTATCTTTTTGAATACACAACTATTACTAATAAAATTGTTATATGCAAATTGTAGATCGGTTCCGATTCTAACGAGTCTATGCAAATGATGATGATATGTACAAATTGTTCTATTAAATTAGGAAAAGTTAACAGCTTTATTAAAATGGCGCAATTCCATTACACGATAATGGAAGAAGCAGCAAATCAGATTCAGAAACTGAATGCACAATGTGATTTTAATTGGGTGGATTACAATGTGAAGAAAACTGCTATATTGAGAAATGCATTGAGTAACAAAAAGATCCTAGACGACACAAATATTCTTAAAATCGAGCGTGATAATGGAGACCAAAAAGGAAATAAAAACGAACAAGACGAGAATGTTGATTGCATGTCTAGGTAAACAAATACATTCGGTTCACTTGATTGTTTAGTTACGAAAAGTAATGTTTCAGCATATATTATCGTAGTGAATCTTCTGATGATGACATTCCTTTATCAGAGAAATTAAAAATTTTGGTAAACCCAACACCAGAAACACTAAAATTTAACATTAAATCTCGGAAACGCACCAGAAGGAAGGTTAGTATTCACTAAATGTTGATAGTTTAATAGAATTTTTCTTCGAGATAATTGTATTTTCTGGTTCCATTGCTTGTTGTTTAGTTTTCATGTCGTTTTTTTAAATATGTTCTTGACTATGAGCGATAAATAGATTTTAAAATTGTGATCCTATTTTAGAACATTTCACCCAAGAGAAAATACGTTAGGAAAAGTAAAGAAAATTTACCAGATAACAACATAGACACAGAAAATGAAAATGCTTCCGATATAAAGGAAGTTTTAGATTTACCAGATGTATGTCCTTTGTGTCTGAAGCAAATTAGGTAAGATACCTACTAGCTTCGAGAAATTTTGATCAAAGCCATGATGGAAAACATTTACATTTTTTTACACTTTTTTCCGGGCTTTGAATATATATACATTTTTTTACTTTGTACTTTACAAAAAGTACTTATTATTATTATTCTAGTTGTAATAGTTCAAAAAACATTAGCTTAGTGTTATACTTTTTTCATTCCTGAATCATTGTAGATATTTGAATAAACATTTACAATCGAAACATTGTCTCGACTGGCAGAATTGCATATGCTTGAAATGTGAATATCACAATAAGAACACAAGGGAATTAATTGAACATTGCCATACATGTTCGAAAAATGAGGAGTTAATAGAACTAAAGTCGGAATGTAATGAAAGCATTTGTGAAAAAGACTTCCATGACTCCGATTTGGATTCTGACCAAAGGTATTTACCAATTAACCAAAGTTATGATTTAATTATCGACGTCTTTTATTAATTAAAAACAGGGAAGACTTTGACTATAAACCGCACATGGGAAGTTCCATGAAACGTCCTTCTGGTAAGACGAGTCCATGTTACTTTAACTATAATTGTAATAAATGTGAAAACGTTGCATTTGATCACTACGAGGGGATTGAGGCACATTTAAAGGTATTGCCTAACACAGTAGTTTCTATTAAATATTTTATTATTTAATACGTTGGTTTTTTTCAGTTGGTTCATTCAACGGAATCAGACTGTATTCTTTGTAAAACACAGTTTGCCAGCCACTTCAGTGCTTTATACCACATAATTGTTAAACATGGCCGTCTGAAATGCTGCAGATTGTGTTTAATTGGTTTCAAGAGTGCAGCCGAACTTCATGCACATTATAAATCGGAGGAGCATAACACTAAATGTGCAGTATGTGGAGAACAGTATGTTCTTTATAATTTACCTAGTTTATTTGATAATATTTGTCTATTTTCAATTGATTGTTTAGGTTTAAAAACAGAAAAGCTGTGTATGAACACCGAAGAAAAAAACATCTAAATCCGCAAGAGGAAAATCAGAAATATAAATGTCCGGATTGTCCCAAAGAGTTCTCCAACCCTCATAATATAAATAGACATAGAGCGGTTGCTCATAACGATTTGCGATTTCTATGTGATACATGCGGACAAAGTAAGTTTTATCCACTTACAAGCATTTAATTGTGCGGATATTAAGCTAAATACTTTGAAACTAGGCTATACAACAAAGAGAAACCTCCGATTACACATTCTCAAATTCCACGAAGGAGTACCAGTGCAAAGCAAGTCAACAAAAAAGAATTTCTTCTGTGAATCGTGTGGTAGAGAACTGAGGATATTTCATAAATACGCCATCGCTTTACATCGAGCGAAACACAAGGGACATAACTTTGTTTGCAAAAAGTATGCCATTGCAAAAATAGCCTGTATAAGTTTGTTTTTTAACATTTCATTTCAGGTGTTATGAATCATTTGCAACCGAAGAAGAATTCAAAAGACACGTTGAAGAAATGGGGCATGAATTATTTGTATGTGATAAATGCCCATCGCAATTTGTAAGAGAAGAGAACTTCAAACTTCATTTAAAGAATCATGATGCGCCCGGCTGGAATAAAAACATGTTTGCCACTTGGGGAAAATCTGCACAGTTGCGGAACGAAAAAGGTAACTGGCCTAAATATTTATGTGTAAACCTTTAAATTAATTTTTCCACTTTCAGGTGAATTTGTGTGTTGTCACTGTCCGAAAGTATTTAAGGACAAGCAACGACTGGATAATCATATAAGGGTGCATACAAATGAGAGACCTTATGTGTGCCACATATGTGCTAAAGGATTCAAAACTTGGATACATCGTAAAACGCACCTCAACATACATTTAGGTAGATTGAAATACGCCCGATCAAATGTATTTTTTTATTTATTCATTTTTGGTATTAACAGGCATTAAAAAGTGGACATGTAAATACTGTTCGAAATCGTTCACGAATTCCAGTACTTTAAAGGGACATGAAATGATTCATACTGGCGAGAGGCCCCATAATTGTCCAGAGTGTAAAAAAGGGTTTATCACGATATCTGCCATGAAAAAACATCGAATGACCCACTTTAAGACCTCTGATGAAAAAAAGGTAAATCAAGCCTAAATGCTCCAGAGCTTTGAAGTCAAAAATATTATATTTTCTTCATTTCTAGAATATATCCCTAGAAAAAAGTGATCTAAAAAGAGATAGCGAACAGGAAAGCATCGCATATAAATACGACCATATCTTTGCTGAAAGCAATGTCAGCTATGAAATGGTGGCTCCTATTAAAGACACAACTGTAAGGATTCTTACTGTAGTTAAAGACTGCTAAAATCAATACTCTTCGTGTGAATTCCATCGTGATTAATGGCTATATTTTTTTATGACATTCAGTATTTAAATGTGCTTAATTAAACAAATGCTTATTACATTATATAATTGCGGAATGGAATCCTAACTTGTCGCATGTTTTGAAATTGAGCGGCCATATATGCCTGCATATTTTATAGACATATATTATATTATGTAAAACTATTTCAGGAGATATTTTACGTTTTTAAATGTTGCACCGAAATGTGATTGTCGTGAGAAAGACGTTAGCAAAAATTGAAGGCGAGTTGTTAAATAAAATACTCAAGACGACGTCGTAAAATAAATATTTAAATCAATAATTATTTTTATTTACACAAACACATAGCATCGAATAATTTCTCATGTAATTATTACGATTGAAAGATAACAATTGCATATGTGAAAGATAACAATTGCATATAATACTACTAATTGATTAGATAAATCAGATAAATATGCCAAACAAGCATATTTGCGATTAAATTTCTATGTAGAACATGCCATTATTATTAAATGATTTCTAGCAACACAAACTAGGAAGTTGTTCTCACGCACCTACTGTTCATCAAATTACTAAATACTTACATACTTGAACTATTAAGAAGTGCTTAGAATGTCGTCAAACAAAGCTGTTACTGAAGCACATTCTTTTACTTTCTGCTGCAGTTGAGCTTCTTGTTGTTTGATCATATCTTCTAAGTTCTTTATTAGTGAGTCTGCATGAGCAATAGTTTTTCTATTTTCCTCTAGTTCTTGCTCATCTTTCTTAAGACTGAAACATTTAATTATGTCCATTTTCTTCAACACTCATTTACAATCAAATTTAGCCACTGTGCAAATTAAAAGCTAGCATTTAACTTAATTATTCAAAAGTGTGAAGTTTGCCTGAAAATGAACTTACTCTATTTTACTATATTGCTCTTCCAGTGCATTATAGTTGGAAATCCCTAATGCTAGCTGCTGCTCAAGTTCTTCAAGTTTACTCATTAATGAAGCATTATTAGCACGTAAAGATTCAATAAAATCCTTTGCCTGGTTGCATTTTCTGTGAAACCGAATCAGAGTTAAGAAAAAGATGATTTAAAATGATCTGATGATGAAATTTTGTGAACGTCATTTAATCTTGACGAGATTTATAATTAGATGAACACTTTGGAGCCAATGTATTACAGGACAATAAATGATGTAGTAGAATATATGAATTAATTAAAGAACAATTTAAATACAATATATTTGGGTTACTTACTGATTTGCATCTGCAATTTGTTGCTGTATGTTGTTAATATCATTAGCTGAGTTATTAATCGCCTGCTTTGCATCAATTAGTTTATTACAATTAGAAAGAACTACTTTCTCCATCTTTAAAGCGACTTTTCTGAAATGTGAAGACACAATGGCGAAGGCTCAGCTTAAAGATTATTGCAACCTGATTATATCTTATCGATATAATTCATAATCAATAATAGGAAAATGGTCCTCCCAATTGCTGAGGTGAAATTTCGAAGTACAAAGAATTATAAGTATGAAACTCCTGCTTATGCAGTTTTTGCCAATAATCAGCCACTCATGATTTATCCCTTTTGCTCGCTTAAAATATTTTAAACACACATTAATTTATTTATGGATCTACGGCCTAAGACTAAGATATGTAGTCCCATAAAATGTTAATAGATCCCATGAGCGAAAAATTGATAAGAAAACCTAAAGATATTGACGGGATTCTCAGCTTATGTTGCATTTCTTATCTATGATTCAATCTTGTTTTTATTATGAGAAATCGAATTTGTTTAAGTTTCATAAACCTTTTTGCACTTTTGCATTATAGAAAAGTTCAGTCATCCAAGAGTCTTGCAGAAAAAAACGTGGAAAATTTTGGGTAGGTAGACCAAAGTTGTTTTATCCGATCTTGACTCACAAACTTTGTAAAAAACTGTACTTTTGAAAGTGCGGATGCACATACCCCACCTTATCTAAACTTTTAACACATAGCAAAGTCGAACACCCGGGTAAAATTTCTAAATTCCTAATAAATACAGTTAGAACAACCTGTTCCTCCTCATCGAATGTTTTTGAATTTTAAGTATTCTAATTTATTTATGAATCTACTGTCTAAGATAAGAATCCCATAACTCGTCAGAGTACATTTTGCCTCAAATAGATTTAAGAAGGCAAATTATTAATTTAATTTAAATATTCTTGTGATTGTGGCAACCGAAATTAAGATCTCATTAAAGTAAACTAGACGATCCTCCGTTCAAAATAATAATAAAACTAAACTATGTCTAATCTCATTGCAAAGCTTTGCCCCTTAAAATTGCGTTTAAAACATTTTCAAGATAATCGCATTACTTTTCGGTTACTAACATATTTTAGCAAGCATTTTATTTTCTTGAATGATGACTGTATCAGACATAAATATTTGCTGAACTTACGTTAACTTAAAGTACCATGACTTTATTACTGGTGTTAAATGCATGAATGTATGCCTGCTTGGCTCAAAACAGTTGAAACATTTGTTTATGTATCCTGAAGGGTAAAATAGACAAAAATTGCAAAAAATATTTACATCGCATCGTTAATACGCTGAGTGCCGTCTCTAGACTGTTCTTCGCATCGACGCAAGTACGTTTTCTTTCGTGCCTCCTCCAGGGTCACTTGATCAATTTTTTGGGTCAGTTCGTTATTTATATTTTCCTTTTCCTGTATTTCTTTGAGCAATTGAACTATTATAGCGGTATCCCCATTCATACTTTGCAAGATCTGTATTGTTGGGATTGCAAGGTTTAAATAAGCAAGTAAAAAATATTAAAACATGTTTTATACCTCCTCCTTATGTTCTTCAATCATGTTACCCACTTGATAAGACAGAATACCGAAATAAACAACAAAACTATTAAACTTATGAATAAATCCCGATTTACGAACAGAATTAACAGAAAATGTCGTTACAATAACAAAGTTTTAAGTTTTAATTTACATGTCAATTGTCGAAGTCAATCCGAATTGTACAAATATACAGGGAGATTACATTGAATGTGATGTTTCGTACGTATGTGTTCAACACATGACGCGAACCAGCGCAGTTCGATTTTAAACGTCTTTCAAATGCGGCATTCAGAACGACACACGCATGCAGTGAGCAGCTACGCATATTAGTGCTTAACTCAGCATTATGTAACAAAATACACGTTTTATAAAAAGTCTAATAGCTCGTAAGTGTGTAATCAATAATTAGTATAAACATCGCATGAAGTTTTGTTTTCATATGCATGAGAATCGCTTTCTTAGATAACATTTCTTCAATTTAATTATTAAATGTTATTTAATTGCCTCATTCTCTCACACCATGCGAAAACTAGAAACAGTCCGAAGATCATGTTTCATATGAACACGTGCGCAATTTAAGGCTCTATTCCGCAATTAGAACTAGAACTTTTCAACTTAACCCACTCGACAATACGACTTAAATGACCCGCGTTATTTTTGAATTTTTGCAAATTCATGTGAAAACGTACTTACTTTAAGGTTGTATCCGACAGATAGAGCTTTAGAGCTCAACCGGTACTTAAAACATGAGCCAAATATTCAAAGCGGTTTTCAAGTCTCGCTTTATTGATGAACCTTCGGATTTTGCGTAAAAACTAAAAACATTTCCTAAATAATGTTCCTTATGAAATCGTGCGCAATTTAGGACCCTATCTTTCAATGACAGCTAGGGCTTTGCAGCTCATCCGATTCTTAAAATATGAGTCAGACAGTCAGAGTTAGAAGACTAAGAGCGGTTTTTAAAACTAGCTTTATTTTTGAATTTTTGCATTTTGCGGTAAATATAAAAACATTCCTTAAATGATGTTTAGTATAAAAACGCGCAATTTAAGGATATATTCCGCAATAAACACTAGAATTTTTCAGCTGCAGCGACTCGTAAAAATTTGGATCCAAGGCCAAGAACGGCTTTTGAAATCCGCTTTATTTTTTAATTTTTGCATTTTGCTCGAATACTAAACATTTTCCTAATATTGTGTTTAATACAAAAACGTACAAAATTTAAGGAGCTATCCAGCAATAAGAACTAGAGCGTTATAGCAATTAAGTAACAACGACTACAACCTTGATTGCCATCTTCTTCTACAACGCGAAGAAGATAAGATACTATCCGCTAGACCGTCATAAATCACCAAAAAGTTCCATCTACCTTTACGCTCTTTAATCTGGATTCTGGGGTTTTTTTGCATTTGAAGACCACAAAAAGTTAAATTTACCGTAGGAAAACACAAATACTTTGCAGATCATTCAAGATGTTTTCATAACCGTACGCTAAAGTTGATTGTGATAGAAAAACGTTATTTTTTATATCGTGACTTGAAAGAAAATTCAATCTGTGCTCACAATGGTATACCCATATTTTGCATTACCAGTTTATGTTCGAAAACTGAGTGAAAAGCACTGAAAAAATAAAAAAAATAACTATATTTAACCAATACTAGAACTGCTTAATTTAAAGTAAAGTTCACAAAAGAAAAAATGAATAAATGAAGTAAATTACTTGAAGGTATTTCAAAAACGTAGATCGCAGCAGAACAACTTTTCATTTAGAAAACGGTAAAAAAACCATTTGTTAACGTATTATATCTGACTTTAAATCAATTTTACAGAAATACAGTTTGGAAAATTTAAAAGCCCAACCGATAAAAATTATATGCGAGAATTTTACAAAATACAAATCAACAATTTTGGATTAAAAGCCTTAGAACTACATGGCAACCAGAAATAAAGTATAAAATATGTTTAGTACAACAAGCAATCTGTCCAAAGCCATGGAATGGGAAATCAGCAAAGCAAAGAATGAGAAATGTAAAAAATTCACAAAATTTCAGTTGGCATTCGAAAAACTATTATTTTACCATTCTTACCAGCTTTTCTACCCATTAATCATCCCAAAGTCCACACGGCACTTGAACACTCAATATAAAGATCTACTCCGAATATAAAACTTAAATCCTGCAGGTCGCAAGCAGAATAAACTAATACCGCGCTTGCTTTCGGAAGTTCGAATTAAATATATTATTTATGTCCTTAACTTCTGAGGAATTGCAAATTTTACTAAAAAACTAGTTTTAGTGAAACGTTCAAATTTTAGCCGTTTTAGAGAAATGTCGCATTTTATGATGACTAACTCAAGTAGGAAAGTAGCAGTTCAGTTCACTTATTTATTTGTTATTTGCGATAATTAGCTTTTCAACCAACATTCGTGTTTAGCGTAACTGAAATGCATTTGATTTTGGCGAATATTCGTTTTAATTAATAGCAGCTGGAATATTTTTAACAATATTTTTTTAAACGGCTTTTTGAAAGCTTTATTTTGAGAATTTAAACGGCTGAAATTAAAGATTATTTGGATTAAAAGTACTATTTTCGTGTACAATTTTTTTCTTGTCCGTGCTTTGCCATTAATTAAATTACAATTTAAGGAAAAAAATCACTGATCACTGATTAAAATATTGTCAGCGCTCTTAGCGTACCTAAAAGAATTAGTAAGAAGCGTAAAAAATGCATCATGCATGGCTGAAAGAACTGGAAATCTAAAAATAAACAAACACGATTTTTTTAATGTTTGCTATTCAATAAGTGTGAGTAAGCTCAATTTATTTATTTTATCATTATTTATTTTTTTACATTTTTTTATAAAGTGAAGCTACTTAAAATTGTCTCACCCTTTACGTATAGTAGGGAGTATACTGTGGGACAACTGGGATATTGGAGATATTTTAAAAAATCTCGAAAAACACATTTTTACATATTATTTTGAAGATTACATTTGAAATTAAATCACTCGGTATCTTAGATTTTGTAAATATATATTGAGTTGAATTGTATTTGTAATTTACAACTTTGCCCTTTTCCAAAAATAATGAACAAAAAGCAATGTGTATACGCTTTTAATCGTAACTCAAAAAAGTGATAATAATTAAAAAACATTATAAAATTACTATGTAATATAAGTAAGTACACCCCAGTGATGGAATATTTTAGGATTTATCTTTCTTTATTTGAAGATCCAGGACCTTTTCACTTGCAAAGTCGGGCAGTGACAACTTTCTGTATCCTTCGTCCTCGACGAAGCAAATTTCGTGCCCATCTGGATCTGCCAGGATAATAACTCGAACGGTTTGTTTTCCCGGAGTGGGAAGCAGCATAAGAGGATTTAAAATCGTTTGTTTGTTCTTGGTAATAATGTCAGAGACTGGTTCCTGTTCTGCATAGGGAATAGAAAATGCGATTCGTCCATATGCCTTACGCCTGTCCACTGGGCCACCTGAGAACACAAGGGTTATGCTTTTAAAACTTAATTCAAAAGGAAACATTCAAAGGAAATACGTTGGGAGTATGGCTTGTAACTTACCGATATCTTTCAGCTGAATTTTGGTGGCTTTTTTCTCAAATCCGAACGTGGCAGATTTGTCGGTCTTTTCATAGATAGTTAAACCAAGAATTCCGTTCCAATAGTTTACGGATTTCTCGAGGCTTGAAGATGCCAACATAACGTTTAAGACGGGATCTAAAAATTCATTTTTACAACAGTTATATTCACCAAATTTCCACACTTAATACAGCAGCTTTATCATACCTACCATAAATGTTTAATGTATATTGTATGTCAAGTAAGAAAAAGCGTTTTATTTTTTTTCGAAATAAGTTTTTTACTTCTGAAAGTAGTAAAAAAAATCAGTGAAACATTGTAAGTCGACAAAATCAGATAATTTAAATTTGGGGGTAGTTGCAATATTTCTGGTTTTACACAGCGTTTGTTGAAAACCGTGACCAGACTAATTAAAATCTTTAAATCTTTAAGCAACAAAATATAAGAGTTAAGAGACAAGCTGAAACAAACATGAAAACTTCAAATTGGTTGAATTCCTCATATTACTCTGAGTCTGAACGAACGATTTTCGTTTGCTTCTGCACTATCATTTCTTAAGTGCTTTCAGACATTTTAATGTTACACTTAACTTTATGTAATGAAAGGCAAAGATAAGATTACACTAAGGAGACAATTGGAAAAACGTGGGATAATAAATTTGATACGTTCATAAAAAGATTTTTAACATGCGTTTCCTAAATTAAAGATATTTAAGCATATCCTGTGTAAAAAATGTTCCAACCTTCATTCCTACCTACTTCAGAAAAATTCTCAAATCAACCGTTTACCAACTTACAAACCCGTCTTTATATGAGAAAAAAAAACCTATTTTGGCTTGTAAACTATACAATTCAAATACTAGGCTGAAGTAGAAGTTACTGTAATTTGGACAGTTAGTTAAAGAAATTGGTTAGAAAATCAAACCGCATTTTATTAATGAAATTAATGAACCGAATTTGTCTACACTGTTTATTCAATTGGTTACGAGTTTGAGAATTAAATTGAAAAAAAAAAGTAAATATGTATATTGAAGGCGAACACATAAAAAATAATCTTAATGACGCTGATAAAAATTGTTAATTACAGTGCTATGGTGTAATCAGGATTCAACTATCTTGTATTTGTAGATACTGAGATACTTCAGAAAGAAAATCTATAAATGATCACACTTGATCGATATGACTAGGCAGTTTCGATTGAAAAATGTTTCCTAAAAAATAAATATTTGCGATATACAGATATGAATAATTCCTTAAGTATAATCGATCTCTCACAATCTGAACCTGGACACGTGTGGACGACTATGACGCCAAAAGGATAAAATAGTCCTGCTATTTCGATGAGATAATTAAATTGAACTAAAAAGGATAAAAGTTTTCGAGTGGATCGTATTTTAAGCATGACTTTTAAATTTAAGAAATATTTATTGGCGTCAGCATTAAATTTTTAAATATGTATCTGATGAATTAGACGACTACGATCGAAGCAAACTTATTTAGCTGTTTAAAGCGAAATACACAAAAAAATTAAATTTTAAGTAAAAATCCTATTTGGAATATATTAAGTAACTGACCTCTATCGGATGGCTGGTCTTTGTCCACAATATAATATTTGTAGCCACCAGGGGCTTCCAAAATATTTCCATCGGCAATCGGCCACTTAAATTCGCGAGCTCTTTTCAGAATTTCCCCGTCCTGGATTGTGATTCCCAAAAAATCGTTTCCTCGTTCATATGAGTGAATACCGTAGTTGTAAGTGAGTTCAATCACAAAGTTATCGTCCTCGTTGCCATATCCAATCATTGTTTTACTCCAACGACCAGCATATTCGCTACAAAAACAAATAATTTTTGTTTAGGCAGTTTCTACAAAATCGGTTTATTCAAATAAATTTGTAATAATTCACCCGAACAAGGCACAAAAAGATTAAGCGTCAATTTGTTCAGGATAATACATTTGTGTTTTTGTCGATACTTCATTTTGATCGGTTTTTCCATTGTTATCAAATTTTCGTGCTAATTAAAACGTTCTATTTATACAGACATTTTGGGAGACAATTTATTTTTGGTTAAAAACGGTGGTAAAAACATACTTCAAAAAAGCGTAGGATATTCAATGGAAGGACTTAAAATTTAAAAATGGCATTTAGGTGGGTGGTGGTATTTAGGTTTTCCCTCTCCGCTTATGAACAAAATGGAAAATATTGAAAAAAACCATCTTCAAAGCTTTTAAGAAACAACTTTTGAGGTATCTATATTTCTAAGAACGTTTTGCTATTATGTAATCTCTAGAATTAAGCTAGTATTTGCTTTATTTCTAAATATTAATGGAAAATCTCAGTTTACCACAATTAAAATAACTGGAAATCCCCATAATAGCACATTCATAAGTAATGGGTGATATTTTTAAATACCCATATTGGCGATATTTTAGATGCACGGTAAACATTTAATTAAAAAATAATATACACTTTGCTGCTACTTAATTAATTTTAATACAAATTTCACAAAGTTACCCATTGCATTGTGCTTCACAGCCCTCACTGAACTCCTCATGCCTGAACACCTTCATGCCCAAAACCTTCCGGTAAAAGTCCATAGTCCTGTCACGATCTGGGATTTTAAATACATAGTGAAGAGGTCTTCCATGTAAGCTAACCATAGTGGAACTGAAATGAAAATTGTATATTTTGCTGTTTGCTGTTGAAAATTACTACGAATAGTTCAACTTTTGAAACACTAGCATGCATTTCGATGCAAATTAAATACAAAAATTCCTTTTATCTTAGGTGATGTAGTATGGAAGATTGCTTGTATATTTATATCCCATATTGTTTTATTAGCTCTTTTGACCTTCCGTATGAACAGAAAAAGCTAAACCAAATACAACAATAACAACTGAAGATTAACAGTTTCGAATACAGAAGGTGTGTTAACAGACTTATCTGGTTATATTGGTCTTTTATTATTTTTATTATGTTGTTATATGCAGACAAATTGTTAAGCACATTAAGATTTAAAAAAATTAAATATTGTTTACAGAAATTAAAAACCAAGCTTTTTATGTACCTAAATAATATATGGTACAACTAGTATATAATTCTATACTGGCCTGCACCCTGCGCAAAGTCTATTGCTTACATGAAAAATAGTATATATGGCACTTACTTTATAGTGCAATTAATTGATGTGGAAATACTAAATCACTTATTCTTCCTGAGTAGAATCACACCAAACGTACCATTGAAATGATACAATTGAGATTAAATAGTTGACTTTATATCTCATGCGTAGTGATAATAATATTAAAAAGATAATGATAGCGAGATAAAATATCAGCTTCAAACACTAGAGGTGTAACAGACACTATATACACAGGGTGATAAAAAAAATGAAAACGCTTGAAAATCTCGAAAAATATGCTTTAGAGCGTTAACAAAAAAACAGGCACCTGATAATTTGGAAGAAAAACAAGCTTCTCTGTAGATAAGGCAGGTGATCTTTAAAATCTTAAATATAAACATCCACTTTACGTAAAAAACGCGATCTAAAGTAGCTTTTGTCGTAAAGTACAACCGCCAGTCACCCACAATTAGCATGTAGGTATCATTCATTTCATACTAATCTGTTTTCGTGAAGAGGATCTGGTTAATACAAATATGTATATTAAATTAATGATTTCTGATGGAAAAAGAAGACTTAAGAGATAATTTAAGCAAATATAAGTTAAGTTACGAATTTTTCTAGGGAATGGATCGTTAAACAAGAACAAATTCACACAAAAATCGTTTAGTTTCCCCAATGATAAGAACTGCCAAGAGAAAGTGTCTTAAATGGATCTTTTGCTATCCAACCTTCGAACACAATTCGGTTTGCTA